ATTCTCGAACATCTTGCTCCGAATGAGGCCAATAGTAGGCATGTTGTAGAAGTGCCAAGGTACGCTGCCACCCAGGGTGTCCTGCCCATAAGCTGTCATGACATTCACGTAGGAGAGTCTTCCTCAAGTCTTCAACTCTCGGTACAAATATCCGCCTTCCCTTTGTCAAAAGAAGGCCTTCTTCAACCCAAAACCACATAGTCTTCCCTTCACGAGCTGCTATCAATAGGCTCTATGCAATGGGGTCCTTCTGGAGTCCTTCCTTGATGAGCTTAATGAGGTCCAGTCTGATCTGACTTTGAGAGGGACCTTCACCTGTGGATAGTGCTGCAAGCTCGGCCTTCCTGCTAAGTGCATTAGCAACCCTGTTCATTGGCCCTGGCTTGTACTGTAGAGTCATGTCAAACTTCGCTAAGAAATCTTGCCACCGAGCTTGCTTAGGGCTCAACTTCTTTTGTGACTGAAAGTAACTAGTAGCTATGTTGTCAGTCTTGACCACGAACTTGGAGCCAAGTAGGTAGTGTCGCCATGTGCGGAGGTAGTGGACGATGGCTGTCATCTCCTTCTCTTGCACAATGTACCTCCTCTCTGTATCATTCAATTTGCGGCTTTCAAAGGCGATGGGATGTCCTTCTTGCATCAAGACCCCGCCAATAGCAAAATCAGAAGCATCTGTGTGTAGCTCATATGGCTTGTTTGGATCAGGCAAGTCGAGGACAGGTTCTGCTGAGACAGCTCTTTTCAAATCATCAAAAGCTGTTTGGCAACATTCACTCCAGGTCCACATACTAGTCTTCTTTAGTAAGTTGGTGAGAGCAGTGGCTCGTGCTGAAAATCCAGAGATGAATCTTCGGTAGTAGTTCACGAGGCCAAGGAAGGAGCGAAGTTCGGTGACCCTGGTGGGCGGTGCCAAATCTTGAATGGCCTTGACTTTAGCTGGATCCATATTGATTGTGCCTGCTCGGATTATATGTCCGAGGAAAGCCACCTCTTCTGTGGTGAAAGAACATTTCTCCTTCTTAACAAATAGGTTGTTGTCCCGCAAGACCTAGAAAACAATACGGAGGTGGTCAACATGTTCCTCCAAGGTTCTACTGTAAATTACAATATCATCAATATACACAACAACAAATTGGTCTAGGTAGGGTTGAAATATTCTGTTCATCAATGTACAAAAGGTGGCTAGAGCATTGGTGAGCCCAAAGGGCATGACACGGAATTCAAAGGACCCATATTGGGTAACACAAGCTGTTTTGTGTTCATCTCCTTCGGCTATACGCACTTGATAGTACCCCGACCTCAGGTCTAGCTTGGTGAAGTACTTGGCCCTGTTGAGCTGGTCAAAGAGGTCGGCCACCAAAGGTATGGGATATTTGTTCTTGATGGTGAGCTTGTTGAGAGCTCGGTAGTCAATACAGAGCCGAAGAGATCCATCATGCTTCTTTTGAAACAAGACTGGGGCTCCAAAAGGGGCCTTAGAAGGCTGAATCAACCCAGCATCCAACAACTCATTCAACTGCTTTCGTAGCTCGGCCAGCTCGGGCGTGCCAGTGGTTTGGTTCTAGGCTCCAACTCAATCTTGTGATCAACTTCTCTCCTTGGGGGAAGCTTCTTCGGTAATGTGGGAGGCATGACATCCTGGAATTCTTCTAGTGCCATTGTAATCGCTGGCGGGATATGCCCGGTTGGTGGGTCAGGCAGGTCGGAGTCCACCAATGTTGCTAGGTAAGTGGTCTCTCCTTTCCGCACTCCATCCTTTAGTTGCAATGCTGAGAGCATCTTGGGGGTGAACGTGGTTTCTGGCACAACTGGAACCATGCAAGGAGCCTGATCTTCAAATATGCACACTTTGTTGAGGAAGGGCATGGGCACCGCCTTTACTTGAGTTAAGAAGTCCATGCCRAGAACAACCTGAAAATCATCCATAGGCATGACTGAGAGGTCTATCATCCCTTCCCAGTCACCAAGTTGCAAGACCACCCCATGAGCTACACCTTGTATGGGTTTGGCATTAGAGTTCACAGCCTTCAACCATCCGACTTCCTKGGTAGGTGCAAGTTCTACTCGGGATGCCTCYTCCATAGAGATAAAGTTGTGAGTAGCGCCAGTATCCACCATGGCTCTTGTGGGCTTACCATTCAAGCGGATGTCTACATACATCAGTCCCTTCGGCTTGAACTTCGATGCTCCTTGCGGGCTCGCCTTCTTCTTCATTGCATTGAGTCTTCGTAGAGCCCCCATCTTTGTCTCCCCTAGTTCCTTCTCCTCCTCGCTATGCTCATCATCACTAAGCTTTGCAAGCAAKGCATTGAGCTTCCCCCGACTAGGACAATCCTTAGTCCAATGYTTTCCCTCACAGATGAAGCATGGTGCCGGAGGTGTTCTMTTCACAAACTGGCCACCCCTGTATCCCGAGTCTCCTTTGGGTCTCCTGGAGAACTTAAAAGTGTTGGGTTTACTTGGCCCAGAGTCTCCCATGGGCGCGTAATAAGGGTTCCTATCACCTCCTATCTTCCCTACGCCCTGATATGAGTTGGGTTTGGGGCCATCTTTGCTTGGTTGCCTGTTGTCTACCAGTTATTCAGCAACGACCATGGCTGTGGCGAGGTCCTTCACATCTCGTCTCTGGAGTTCAAGCTTGGCCCATTGTTGTAGGCCGTCCATAAAGTTGAAGAGCAGGTCCTTGTCTGACATGTCCGTGATCTCGAGCGATAGTGCAGAGAACTCCTTCACGTACTCATGCAATGAGCCCGTGTGTTTTAGGTTCTTGAGCTTCCTTCGGGCTTGGTACTCCACGTTCTCTGGATAGAACTG